ATTGATCTCAAGGACATGGGGTTGCTTATAGCTGGTCATACCAGTAAAGACCAGGGCTGAGACTCAGAGTCAGTGGTCACACATTGCTTTTCAATGTAGTTTGTTTAGTCAGGGAGCATGAACAGCCAGTTCTTGCACATCAAAGCTGTTGATCCTGAAGAATGATAAGAGTATTGGTGTGAGCCAAGAAGGGATTCTTGGGGGTTGATCAGCTGTGCTGGTTATCTTTTTAGGCAGATTTTTTGCAGTAGGAGGAACAATCTGTATGTTAATACTGGTCAGGCAGGTAAACTTTACTCATTACTTATTTCTAAGTGCTCTCCCTGCTGCTTACAAGTTTAGATTTGGAAGCCTGTATTAGTCATCAGTTAATATTTCTTGCAATCATTGTTTTTCAGTTAGTGGGAAGTGCTAGTGGTTAGAAAATCGTAAGTTTATCAAGGACTTACAGTTTAATGCTCTGGTAGTAATTTTTTCACTTACTGCATAAGTAGGAGGCCTAAATTAATATCTTCCTAAATTTTATTTCAAAATAGAAATTTTGGAAGTATTTATATAAAATATAAATATTTTATAAAAATCAAAATGTACCTAATTGTAACACAAGTGGATTAAGAAAGGATGCTGAAGGCACCTTGTTCATCTGACAGTCCAGGTTACTGCATGTGTGGTAAAGGGTCACTTAAAGGGGACTTATGAAAAGGATCCTTAATCCCTGTGAGATCAATGACCTTCTTGTTTCTCTCTAAGTACTTACTCCACAAGTAATACTACATTGTCTTCCTGTGGGATAAAAGTCCAAGATAGTGGGGACAATTGTATTTGCTGTTGTTTAATGGCCTGAACTTTTTACCAGAAGATGGCAGCAGGCTGACGTTAGTCACAAATATTTCTACTGCTTATTATTGGATAAACTTGCTCCATCAGTTCCATGTCCTTCCTGTGCTGGGACCCCAGAGCTGATGCAGCCCTGCAGGTGGGGTCCCAGCAGAGCAGAGCAGAGGGGCAGAATCCCCTCCCTGGCCCTGCTGCCCACGCTGCTCTGGATGCAGCCCAGGACACGTTTGGCTCTCTGGGCTGGCAGTGCCCATGGCTGGGTCATGTCCAGCCTCTCCTCCCCCAGCACCCCCAAATCCTTCTCAGCAGGGCTGTTCTGTTCATCCCCAGCCTGTGCTGCTGCTGAGGCTTGCCCTGACCCATGTGCAGCACCTTGCACTTGGTCTTGGTAAACATTAGGAGGTTCCCACTGGCCCAATTCTTGAGCTTGTCCAGGTCCCTCTGAATGGCATCCTGTCCTTCATTTGTCAGCCACATCACTCATCTTGGTGTCACTTGCAAATTTGCTAAGAGTGCACTTGATCCCTTTGACTATGCCATTAATAATGATATTAAATAACACCATTCCCCATACAGAGCGCTGAGGAACTCTGCTTGTCACTGTTGGATTGCAGGGCTGTTTATTTTTCTCAGCTTTGTTACTTCCCAGTCTTGATGCTTAGAAATCCTCATACTTACATTCTGCCCATTACCCTGATGGAATTCAGTTCTGGGGCTTTTCCCTGCTCCTTGGAGAATGATGTTTGAAGTATTTGTCCACAGAAGGAACTCATGAATTCATAAGTAGGAATCTGATCCTTTAAAATGGATCTGAGAGCTTCCCTCTCTTCAAATGGTGGCTGTTGCCTGATCTTGATGCTTACTTCCTATGTCATCTGAGGCACAATCTTGAGTAATACCACTGTTGTCTTTGCTGAGTCAAAGTAGAGACCTAAGAGAAGACAATGGCTATTGAAGTCTTACCAGCTAACACCACCCATTTGTCCTCAGAGAATCCTTTAGTCTGGAAAAACCCCAGGAACATCAAGCCCAGCCATTAAGCCAGGTCTACCAGTAAACCCTATTCCTAAGAGCCACACCTACGTGGCTTTTAAATACCTCCAGGAGTGGGGAATTAACCATGTCCCATGGGCAGCATGTTCCAGTCTTTTACAACCCTTTCTGTAGAGAAATTCTTCTTAATATCCATTCTAAACCTCCACTGGTGCAACTTGGGACCATTTCTTGTCATTCTCTCAAGGAGAAAAGACTCACCCCCAGCTGGCCACACCCTCCTTGCAGGTAGTTACAGAGAGTGATAGGGTCACCCCTGAGCCTCCCCTTCTCCAGTATAAACAACCCCACCCCTGAGCCACTCCTCCTAGGACTTGTGCTTCAGACTTTTCACCAGCTCCATTGTCCTTCTCTGGACGCATTCCAGCAATTCAGTGTCTTTCCTTTAGTGAGTGCAGTGTAGTGAGTACACTCACTACTTGCTACTCCTGCAGTGAGTAGTGAGTGAGCACAGAGCGGCCTCACCAGTGATGAGCATGGGCCACGATCCCTGCCCTGGCCCTGCTGACCACCCTATTGCTGGTACAGGCCAGGATGCCACTGGCCTTCTTGGCCACCTGGGCACAGCTGGCTTGTGTTCAGCCAATGTTGACCTGCATCCTTGAGTTCTTTGCCTTGGGCACCTTTCCAGACACTTGCCCCCAGCCTGCAGCACTGCCTGGGCTGTTGTAACATGTCGGGTCCCCAGAGGACAGTCCTGCACCTCCTGCTCTGAGGGAGCCCATGTTCTCAGCACTCATGGGCTGAATTACGGCAAAACAACACTGTGTGATTAATTAAAAAGTTTTACTTATGGTAGGAACAATCTAAATCTTATGGTAAATTGAGAGGTCTGTGGCAGCAATGATTTAAACTTTTCTGGACAGCCACAGATGAAACCTTTCTGAACAATGGTGATTTTTGAACAGCCTGTAGCAGCAGTGATTCAAATTTTTTAAGCAGAGGAAGAAAGGAAGAAGGAGAGTTAGGAAAGTAGAAGTAAAGAAAACAGATCTATGTTACCACCCAGGGCACCAGTACTGCCTCTAGTCTCTTTCCTCTGGATGGCAAGTGCATGGATGATGGATGCATACCCTCACTTCTCCCTGTCACACCATTTATAGACTAGTCCTTGCAGGTGCATCTTGTGTTGAAAGCGAAGGGAGACGACCCATCCTTGTTGATCAGCATCGAACTCCAATTTGTTGATCTCACTTACACACTTTTATAGTGGTGTTAATTAAGCTCATGCATATTGCAAAATGCGAGCTCATCATAGGTCACAGATTACACATTAACCCCTCCTTTTGTTTTCAATACCTGTGGTTTGTTATTGAATCCAAGATTTATTTTCTCACCCTGTTATGAAAGTTCTCAAGGCCTCCATGTTTGTCAACTTTTGCTTTCCCAAACCAGCCAAGGACAGAATATTTACTTGTTATTGAACACAGGCTTGAGAATATAGCTGTTTACAGAAACAGGCTGTGAGAATTTGCTCCTCACAGCTGCCTTTTAAGCCATTTCTGAGCAAAATTCTCCAACAATCTTGTTATTCCCAAACTTTTCAGAAGGGGTTTAATGGTCCCATGGTTTCAAATCTGTTCTTAAAAATAGTTACCCAAGATAAGGAAGCTGGTCCCAGAGATGCACTATGCTGCTTCTGCAAGACCCTCTTTTCCAACCACATCTTATCCAGTTGGCATGGTAACATTCCTTTTCTCTTCTGTCAAATGTTTGAGACATTAGCTCATTCAGGTTAAGTCTTTCAGGTTTTCAGTCTCTCACACGGATGAAGGGCAGGACTTGGCATTTGGCCTTGTTGAACCTCATGCCATTGGCCTTAGCCTATAGGTCTTGCCTGTCCAGATCCCTCTGCAGAACCCTCTGACCTTCTGGCAGATCAACACTCCTGCCCAGCTTGGTGTCACCTGCAAACTGAGTAAAGTTGCAAGCAATTCCTTTGTTCACATCATTCATAAAGATACCAAGCAGGGCTGACCCCAATACTGAGCCCTGGCGAGCACCACTGGTGGCTGGGCTCCAGCTGGATCTAACTTCATTCACCAACACTCTTGGGACCCAGCCATCCAAGCAGTTCTTTACCCAGTAAAGAGAGCACCTGTCCAAGCCAGGAGCATCCAGTTTCTCAGGAGAAGGCTTTGGGAGATGGCATCAAAGGCATTACAAAAGCCCGGGTAGACACATCCACAGCCTTTCCTTCATCAACGAACCACGTCCCCTTGTCATAGAAAACAATCACTTTGGCCAAGCAGGACGTGGGACCTGTGTTTCACAAATCCAGGCTTTATCTCTGGTTGTCTTGCACTTGCCTTAGAATGACATTCCAGATTATCTACTTTGTGGCTCCTCTGACACCCAGGTCAGGCTAACAGGCCTGTAGCTCCCCATATCCTCCTTCCAGCCTTTCTTATATTTGGGGGTAATAATTTGCTAACCTCCAGTCTTTTGTGACCTCCTTGGTTAGCTAGGGTGGCTTGTAAATGATGGAGAAGTGGCTTAGTGATGACTTCTTTCAGCTCTCGCAAAACCCATTCTGATGTAGAACTCTGCTGACTCCATCCCCTTCTCATACTTCCAGATACTTCATCACTGTGGTAAAGTACTGCCTACCTGTGATCCATTTCTTGGCTCTGGTACATATTGACTGTTTTAAATATGGAACTGGGCAGTGACTGGCTTGGAAAGACCCTCTCCATTACTGGGCTCTCCCTGCTGCTGAGGATGGTGAATGTGGTGTTCCAGCTTGTCTTTTCCTGAGCCCTCTTAAAAAATAAATTTGCTTCAGATTGCTGAAAACAGCATGCCGAGTGGCTGAAAAATGTGTGACATCTACATAAGGACCCCTTGATGTTCTTGGTTATTTTTTACTTCTGAATTTCTGTTCTTACCACTATACCTAATACTTTGCAAAGTGAATTCTCTCTTGTGCTTTACACGGACTTTTGAGCACCTTGTATATTTTGCTAAAATGTATCACTAATACAGTGTATTCAGAGGCTCAGGCTCCTGCCCACTCAGCATCACTCCAGAAGCAAAGTGCAATATTAATACTTTAATAGCTCCTATACTGACTGCTTCTCCTATTTAGACTGCCAATGGTCTAAACAGATATGCACACAGTGGAGAAAGTACTTCTGAGGTAAGAAAGTGAATTTCCTTGTGCCAGGCAGCAGACTCTCTGCCCTGTACCAAAGGATTTGGGCAGTGAAATAGGTTCAGGATGATGAATGTTGGAAGGTCAAGTTTTCTTCTCAGTCTTGTTGTGGTTCTGCAAGGTTGCCCGAGAGTTAAGTAACACTACCCCAGCATCTTAAGTAGCTCTTTTAAAGCAATAGCTGAGAAAAAGCTGACTGTCTGGCCATGCTGATGTTTCCTTGCCCAACTGGTGTTTTGCTGTAAAACTGTTCTGATGTTACCTCCCCAGCCTGGTCTGGGAAGGCTCTTGTTGCCTCTCTCCCTTGTTTCCTATGCACAGTAGATAGCCTGCTATAATTATTGCCCTTTAAAAGGAGTTATGTATTCTGGTGTAATTCCACTGTAGAACAGAGATGGGTGGAAAGAAGGGGAAACCTGGCCTGGCTGGGGTTATCAAGAGCTGCCTCTGTTCCTTTTGCAGCATCCATGTTTTAAAATGCAAAAGGTTTGTGTATTTCACTAAGTGCTTGCACAATATCCAAACTTTCTTAGCTGGGGGAGGTGAGGGGAAGTATTCAATTCTTTGTGTGTCCAGAAAAAGGAGCACATTTTTTTCTGGAACAAAAAAGAAATAATGAAATTATTCTTCACGGGAGAGATTACATAGCCCATGAAGTGTTGCCACAGAAACCTAAACCATCTGAAAAGCATGTCAAGAGACATGAGAATACAGATTTGACCTCCACTTACCTCCTCCTACACCATGTCTCAAGTATCTTCATGTCTCTCCTGGAGGATGAGGAGACATACCCCAGGACCAAGATGGATGTAAGACCCACTTACAAACGTAAGCTGCCCCTGCAGCTTTGTTCAGGACTTCACAGATAACTCCACTTTTGAAGAAGACAGATCAAAACACTGTGCAGTTTTTATTCCTTCTCTATATGTATGCTAACATGCTGTGCAGGAATCATGCAGACAGAAGTAGGTAGTTGGTAATACAGCACTGCATTAATGGTAGCATTGAGATCTCTCTGTATTCACCTCCTTTCCATACCTAACAGGCCTACAGGAATCCTCGGTAGAAACAGGGCAATGGGAATTCCTGTATGTTGACCCCACAACAGGATCTTTATATTTAGGATGTACTGAACATATTCCTGGTGCTGCATAGCTGATCCACACATTCAGTGGATAAGGCATGTGTAAAATATACAGAATTTTCTAGGTCTGAGCAGCTCATGAAGCATGAGACCCTTTTTGTGTTTGCTGTGGAGTTATTCCGTGAATGTACAAGAGATGCGTACAAGAAGCACAGACACAATGCACGAGCTCTACTGCTGGTAAAACAGATAAGCTGTGCGTCCAACTATGTCCTTGTTTCTCAGCTGCACTAACTTGGTGGCTTGTTTCTCTGGGAGCTTTTCCCCCTCCTCTTCAGCAGCACTAATTGTCTTCCCCGTGCACTGGGAGAAAACTTTCAGTTACACAGAGCAACCCTACTAGTTTTGGTAGGAAGTCATAAATAGAAAATCAGAGGATTTTACCTCTCCTCTGATCACCTTTCTGCTAGCTAACATGGATAGGCAGATAAATAGTTTTGTGTGTTTCTGTATTTCGTTTTATTATACTGTGCAAATATAATAGCTTATGACTGGTGCTTGTTACTGCAGATTTGTCCCAATGTACACAGACAATATTTTCTTGGAAGTGAAAATGATGAAAGAAGTTGGGGAATAAAAGGTATGTGAATGCATCATTAAAATTACCTGGCTGAAATGATTGAAAGTTGTACTTTATTCTAACTGCTGCATGTTTGCAGCTGCATGTTTGCAACAGCATAAACTGCAGTTTGTACATCAAACACACAAGAAATGTCGATTTAGAATTAGTTGAATTGTGAAGACTATGACCCACAGGTGCAGAATATCCATATCTACACACTTTTGAACACTTTGTTTTGCATAGGCAATGTCACCAGATCGTATTCATTGGAATAACTTTGGTGAAACCAATAAAAAAAGCTGCTATATGCAAGGTGTGGATCTGTCCTTCTGTGTTTAGATATCCTTAACCTCTCCATATCTGAAACATATGTATATTTTGGTCTTTTTTCAGTGTTTAGGTCAGCACCTTAAGTGTAACTCCAGAGCTCTAATAAAAGGTATCACAGCCACATTTGGTTACAATTTACAGTATTTTTCCGAACACTGCAAATGGAAATTTTTGTCCAAGCCCCCTCAAAGATCGAGTTGCATACTGAATAAATTCTCTTAAAGGCCAGATTCAACAAAAATTGCAAGTTTTCGCTGCACTATTCTCTAAGCATTGCTAGGTTTTAGTGGTCCCTACTGTCATGGCTTAACCCCAGGCTGCAGCCAAGCCCCAGGCAACCACTTGCTAACTCCCCTACCAGCAGGATCAGAAGGGTAAAAGCTGGAAAACTTTGGGTTGAGATAAAGACAGTTTAATAGGGAAAGCAAAAACAGTGCACAAAACCAAAGCAAACCAAGGAATTAATTCACTGCCTCCCATGGGCAGGCAGGTGTTCAGCCATCAAGAGGAGAGCAGAGCTCCATCACAGGTGACAGTGATTTGGGAAGACAAGCACCATCACTCCAAATGCCTGCCCACAATCCCCTTCCCCCACTTTATGTACTGAACATGATGCCATGTGGTCTGCAATGTCCCTTTGGTCAGTTTGGGTCACCTCTCCTGGCTGTGTCTCCTCCCAACCTCCCAAGCATCCCCAACGTCCTCACCAGCATGGAGTACAAAAAAGCAGGGCTGTGTGTAAGCCCTGCTCAGCAATGTCATAAATATCTCTGTATTATCAACTCTTGTGTTCAGCACAAATCCAATGCACAGCGCTACCCCAGCCACTGTGAAGAAAGTTATCTCCACCTCAGCCAAGTGTTTAGAACATTGTATTCAATTAATTATCATAACTAAAATATTGGAACAGCATCTAAAATAGTGCTGCTCTGGTATTAAGTTACCTTTCCTACTGTATTGTCATGTTCTTTCCCACTGAACACATCATATACCAAATGACACTGTAGGGTTAAGTTGTTGCTATTGCTTATCACAGTTCATGTCAGATGACTTTGCAACTTAAAGTTTCAAAATTCTCTTCTCCTCCAGGCTACACATGTAGCTGTTTCTGCCTATCTTCAGATATGTAATCTAATTTTAATTAAGTCTTGCTTGGTTATAGGGACATGCCTAACCCTCCAACAACATATGGTTCATATCCTGAATTCCCTCCTGTACCCCCTAATGTTTTCAAGATTGTCTGCATGGGAAACTATTAATATCTATGGTTAAGAATTAGAGTTGAAATAAAACTGTAACATATTTTGAAGGAATAGTAGCACTGCTGGCTTACACTAAGTAAAATAAATTCATAACGCCTATGAGGTCTCTAAACGTGTAGAGCTTATAAATTTAAAAAATTGAAGACAGATGGACTTGCTTATCATATTTTGAATATTTTGCAAGAGCTGTGGTTACATCCAAAATGCCCAGAGTGTTCTCCAACAAAGATGATGGGAGAACCTGAAAAGTGTTTTGGTAGCTCTTGGTTGGCAGCTGAAATGTGAGATCTCTGAACAAACCTCCTCTTAGAGGTGGTCTGAATCTCATTAGCTTCTCACTTTTTAACACTTTATTAATGCATTTCCTGTAAAAACACATCTGTGTATGTTCCTGGTTCACCCTGTTGGACTTTCTCCAGGATAATGATGTACCCTAGGCATGGGCACACAGTCAGCATCTCACCATTGTGGTGGTGCCTGGACATCTACTTCCCAAGGGAAACAGGAGTGCCAGATTCTGATTGGATTGAAGAATTCAAATATCGTGATACAAATACCCTAATTGCATCATTTACTCTATAGTGCTTTGACATGTAGACTTCCTTCCTGTGCAGACCCAGTTGGAAGCCTATTTGCCTCACGATTCTTAGTGTGGTTTGAAAGGAAGGAAAATTATAAAAAGAAAAGAAAAACCACCCCTTGGGTTAGATCCAAGACTATTTCATTTCAGCTTCCTACCAGTAACCATAATGGTCTCTAGGGAAAGTTGCACAAAATTACTAGTAAGGGGGAAAAACTATGGTCTTCCTCAGCGCTGGTCAGAGTTAGGCAGTTTTGCAATAGATTCCTAGTGTGACAGCACAAATCTTTTCAGATTACAGGGCCTCATTTATTTCCCTGATATCCTGTCAAGAAAGGAACATATGAATGTCCCTAAAATACCACCTAAAATGTTTTCTTAGTCATAAATTTGGATTCAAGATTTCTAGAATATGGGCTATTCCTGCAATATAATTCAGTGTTGCACATTAGTGCAGACTTATTCTGCAAATTTCAGCACAGTTTTTCTAATAAGGAAGAATTGGGTCAGAGTTGCAAGTTCTTTCTCAGTTTCTGTTTGTTCTGAGAGCAGGGGCATCAGGGAGAGCAAAGCCAAGGGCCGAGGAGATGCCACAGAGCACAGCTTGCTCACACCAAGATGAGCTGCAAGCCTCTGAACCTGGCAAACCATAGGCAGCATTCCAGCCGGGCAGCTGAGGAATCGGGTCAGCCACCAGGCCAAGTGAGAAGGCAGAAAGAGGAGGGGTGGCACTGCAGCTCAGCCTTCAGAGTGGATGTGTGGTTCTCCTTGTCCTAGAGATGCTGTGAGAGACATCCGAACCTCCTGCAGACACAGGCGTACTCTGTGCCCAGAGCCAGCCACAACACAGCAGCAGGAAGGTGTTTGAAGTAGCTACATGCCACACCTCCATAATTCCTGGTTACTGAGCATGAGGATGGCACCCACTCAGCTACCTGCAGAAAATGTCTCTGTGAGACAGAGAATACAATTGAATCTTCCCTCATGGTATTTCACGGTCTCTGTAGGCATGAGTGGGTACAGGTCTGTTTGATTCAACTTTCTGTGTAGATGCACAGCGTTTCCAGGGTGTAACACAGTAGTGTATAATGTATTCTACAGCTGCTCTTTGAATAAGAGTAGTGAAACACTACATCACAAACAAATATTTATTGAAATAGAAAATGTAATGATCATAACATTGATATATGGCTGGACTTGTCAAAGGATTTCAGTTGAGCATTTCAATAGGATTCCTTTTTCATTTCAGATGACTGTGTGTTACAGAATGAACCAAGACAGAGCAGACCAGACCAAACAATAGGTTTGCTCCATCAAAAGAGAAATTTTACCACAGAACCATTGTCCAGAATGACAGTTTCTACAGGGGACTTGTTGCCACTCAAAGCTGTAAATCTCTGAATCCGGGTCAGAAAAACAAGGCTCCCTTTGAGTACATAACCAATTACAGGATGAATTATGGATGGGCAGAGTCCAATAAGATGAAGTTTAATAAATCCAAGTGCCAAGTCCTGTGTTTTGGCCACAATAACCCCTGCAGCATTACAGGCTGGGGATGGTGTGGCTGGACAGTGCCCAGAAAAGGACCTGGGGCACTGGTGACATCAGGCTGAACATGAGCCAGCAGTGTGCCCTGGGGGCCAAGAAGGCCAATGGCTCCTGGCTGTATCAGGAACAGTGTGGCCAGCAGGAGCAGGGAGGTCACCCTTCCCCTGTACTGGCACTGGTGAGGCCACACCTCGAGTGCTGTGTCCTGTTCTGATCCCTCAGTTTGGGAAGGACCTTGAGACGCTTGAGCGCATCCAGAGGAGGCAACGAGGCTGGAGAGGGGCTGGGAACACAAACCCTGTGAGGAACGACTGAGGGGGCTGGGGTGGCTCAGCCTGGAGAAAAGGAGACTCACAGGTGACCTTATCACTCTCTACAATCTCCTGAAAGGTGGCTGTAGCCAGGTGGATGTCAGTCTCCTTCTCCAGGCAGCAACTGACAGAACAAGAGGTCACAGTCTAAAGCTGCACCAAGTGAAATATAGGTTGGATATTAGGAAATTTTTTTTAATGGAAAGAGTGATAAAGTACTGGAATGGTCTGCCAGGGGAGGTGGTGGAATCACCATTCCTGGGTGTGTTTAAAAAAAGGTTGGATGTGGCACTTGGGGCCATGGTTTAGTTGAGGTGTTAGGGTATGGATTGGACTTGATGATCTTCAAGGTCTCTTTAAATTAGTGATTCTGTGATGTGCCACCTCCTCTGGTGAAACATTATGTCCATAAAATTCAGATATACAAGGTCAATTATGTTTCATTTGATGGCCTCACTACACACAAATTTTCCTACCAGGGGTGGGCTGGTCAGCCAACTAAGCTTCCAAAACCATACCAGATAAAACCAACCCCTGTCTTCCTTTCTCCACTACAGCTTAATTTCAGGAAAAACACAAAGTTTGACTACAGCCTCCTGTATTCACCAGAAAACCTGATAATTATCTTCTTCCTCTGGAGAAAATGGACATTCACACCATTACTTGGCCACATTGGAAGCACCTAAATGAAAAGCCAGCCAAAATGTGTCGATCTTTGGCCCAGCTTAATAAAAAGACTATAAGCCTTGGCTATGAAATGGACTAAAACCCATCACTGATGCTCCAGACTTTCCCAGCAAAACCAATAGATTTCTTGGGTACATTTTGGACCATCACAGACCTCATTCTCTCACAGTTATGTAAACCTACAAGCCTGTCTGGTCAGGCCCAAAGCATCAAAGTCTCCCAGATGCTAAAACAACCTACACTGCCAGTTACACACCAAAGGGCTTTGCTAGATGCCTGGCCCCTTACAAAGACCCATCCCAGTTACATCTTTGAGAAAACTGATGCTGACAGCTTGATTTTGTTTGGTAAACAAACTTCTTATAAACCAGTTGCTGTTTTCATATTTGGAGAACTCTTAAAATAAACTTAATTCCCTGGCACTGACTCTTTCTGGTAAATTCATACAAGTGAAGAACATAAAATCCAGGGAAAAGACATTGATTTTTGTTTCTCTGTATTTTTTTTATTTTTTTCCTACCTAACTCTTGCTTATTGATTGAGAGATGTCCTCCTCCTGAGACGGTAACAGAAAGATCTCTTAGTAGTAAACTTTATTATGGATGAAAAGGGCTCCATAAAAACAGAAGTGGAACAGGTGAATTGCCTGATGTGAAGTGACATGTAAAAGTCATTGCTGGATAACAAAGTCTGATATCTGGCCTTTTCCCGTATTCCCATCAAAGACACATACAAAAGGTACAATTACTGTAGAAATATTATTGCATATTGCACCTTCATAAATTGTGTCACTGTGCTGTCCAGAACTAGGCTATCAGATGGGAGGTTTGTGTGCCAAAGATGCCACCCTAGGCTGACATCTTGTAAGAGAACTTTTTCAGTAAAAGCTCTTCACTTCAGGGTTCTGGATAGGTACCAGAAACATCAAAGAGTTGAAATTGTCACATGTTGCTGTAGCTCAGCCAGCAGCCAGAGTTGCATTATGTTTTGAATAAAGCCATTATTAAGTTTCTGACCCTAACTGTTCGTTTCTGTGTCCAAAGTGCTTTCTGTAGGCTTATGAGTGTTCTATTGGCACTCTGAAACTTCCTGACTTCTTAAGCACATTCTACTTTCCCAAACCCTCCTCTCCCTTACTCCTGGCAGCTCTGGCTGTTTCCTGAGTATTTAGCTCAAGTGCTAGGTAAAGTTGTTGCATGCTTGATGATTCTTGTGGCTCCTTTCCAACTCAGGGTATTCTATTTTTATGTGACTCTATGATTCCATGAAAGGCTTCTGTCTGACCATAAAGCAGCATTTAAAGAGGAAGATAATTTTCTGTGTAAAGGGATTTTAAAAATTTGGGAAAGCTTTGAAACCTGTTGGGATAAAAATTCTTCCTAAGTGCTGTCAAGTTAAAGCTAAACTCATTCAGTCTGAAAGCAGGAATGCTTAACCCTGAGGGTGGGAAGCCACTGGAACAATACCTTAGGGGCACCGTGGTTCTGCTTCCCTTGAAGTCTTGGATCAGTCCTAGAGGCCTTTTCTAAACATATGTCCTAGTTCAATGAAAAGTTATGTTCCTTACCACAGGAAAAACGAGGCAAATGTACAGATTACACTATACAAAAGGGCCAAACTATGCAGTCATTGATGACTTCACACAGCCTTCAGAAATTCAGTAACCTGTAAAATATTCACTCACCTGTGGTGAGGTATTGACTGAGATTATGTTTGGCCTTTTTTTTTTCAGCTCCTCTTATTTTACCAACTACTCTTTTTGAATTTGCATTTCTTTAATATTGAATTTCTACAAGAAAGTACTTTTTCTTCCCCTTCTCCTTTTCACTAGTTGTTTTTCTGATTTTATTTATCAACCTGTAGTTCTGACAATTCTGAAATAGAATTTATATGAAAAAAACAGCTGATGCTTGTGACTGCAGAAAAGATTGTTCTTTTATGCACAAGAGCTTTCCAACTGTTCTTTCAACTCTTTGATATGTGACTGGCAGGGAACACACAGAGCAAGGAGAATCTAGTATTCAAGTTTATCCTTATTACAGGTTTGTGTGGATCTTTCTTGCTAAGTGGAAGTTAGTCTTATCAAGCTCAATAGCAATGCAATATACCACTTAGCAATAGTAATTGCTGGGTTTTGAGTGCTAACAATGGGAATCTTGATTTTTCCATGCTGTGGACCAGCTCAAAGCAGACCTGGCTGGTTTAAGTCCAATCCTTCCAGAGCACGAGAGACAGCTGTGGGTTAGTTTTTTTTTTTTTTTTTTCTGTTTTGTACCTCTATGTGTTAAAAACTTATTAAAACCAATAAATGATAACACTCCAGAAAAAAAGGGATTTCTGTTTTGTGACTTAGGATGTGGTTCCACAGACGTTAAGGCCGATTAAAGCTTGGGCTGCTGCAGTTTCACATTTTGTTCCCCTACAGCTGCACGGTTTCCCATTGTGCCTCTTTTGATAATAACGTTAATGCAGTTTGACTGCATGATGGGCTAAATCAGAAGGCTTACCTGGCTGGGTGAAAATCAGTATTTTAGTAAGATTAAACCCCATTTATTTAATTTCCCTGAATGAGTGCATGACACAGACATGCAGTTATCAACTTAGGTGCGGATGGTCAGTGAAGAATCACAGGGATCTGGTAGCTCAGGCTTGACTTGGCAGTCCTCCCTTTGCTCAGTAGTTCATTTAAGGTAAAGCAACATTTTCTATGTCTGAAGTTTAACTGTTTGAATTAGGCAGTGTCATTAAGCATAAGAAAAATTATATAACTATACTTAGGGATAGAATTGAGATGTTTAACACAGAAAATAAAGTTGGGCTGCTCTACAGTACACAGGATTTGGTTATTGTTTTCATGCAGAATGAGTTATGGATAAAGATGAGGAAAAGTTAATTTTACCTGATGTTCATGCCAATTAAAATTATTTTTTTCTTCGAGTTATCACATTCTCAGAAAGAGAGAAGTACAAGTCAGACATTCTGAGAAAGAGCTTAAAATGTCACTGAACTGCACTACAGGCTTGTGTAATTGCTTTTGAAATTACACAGGGCAGGAGGAGGAGAATGAAACTACCTGCATGCATGGCAGCACCAGCTGCTAGTGCTAGATAAGCAGGAACTTGTTCAGAAACCTCTCAGGTGCTCTGTAGAGATTTTGGCTGTTTTATGGGAGAGCAGGGAGCTCAAAAAGACTACCTGCCTGGGGTCCTCAGAACCAGAGAGACACAGAGCTGCTGGAGCTGGTCCAGGGGAGGTGACAAAGATGATCGGGGGACAGGAACATCTCTCCTGGGAGGAAAGGCTGAGGGAGCTGGGCCTGCTCAGCCTCGAGCAGAGATGGCTGAGAGGGGACCTCATCAGTGCCTGTGAGTATCTGAAGGGAGAGTGTCAGTGGATGGGTCCAGGCTCTGCTCAGCACTGCCAAGGGACAGGACAAAAAGCAATGGGCACAAACTGACACACAGGAAGCTCCACCTGAACATGTGGAAGAGATTCTTTACTGTGCAGTGACCGAGCACTGATTGAACAGAAGGGTTGTGGGGTCTCCCTCACTGGGGATGTTCATTGAGTCTGGACACAATCCTGTGCCATGTGCTCTGGGATGACCCTGCTAGAGCAGGGAGGTCAGACCAGATGACTCCCTTTGGTCTCTTCCAACCTGTCCTGTCCTGTGGTTCTGTAACCTTGCACTCATGATGCAGCACAATACAACACTTCTCACTCAGTGAACAAATGCGTGGAAAGAAGGAAACAGCTGTAGTCAACATCCTACTTTTGAAGACTGGATAATGGCATCAATACCTAAACATTGGCTGAAGTACAAAGCCTGCTATCAAAAAGTGTTTCAAAGGCCAAAATGAAAGGATGAAACAAAGGGACTTTGTTCTTGGCAGGGTTGAAAAAGGCATCCAGGGTACTTACACCATGAAGCATGCAAAAAAGAACAAGGAGGGTTGGGCTAAGTAATAATGGATGAAAAACATCACTGTTGAAGTCAGTTACTGCACTGTGGCTGTTGTCAATGAAAAACGCCACCTATGCACAGGAACAGGCTCACGTATGTGCACTGCAGAGGCTGCTTGGAGGGACAGCTTCTGCCTGCACCCCTGGAATTCACAGGAGGTGTACTCACCAGCACTCCTGATCTCCAGGCAAAGCATGATCTGTTTGGCAAGCCTTAAGCACAAAAGCTGAATTAAGGAGAGATGTGCAAATTAAATTTTAGAAGCGTAGTAGGTTAACAGAAGGTTATGAATATTTTCATAGCCAGGAGGAAGGCAGCCCTACTGTTCCTCACCGGGAAAAAGCTGAGCAAAATTATTTAATTTGTCTGTTCTCAGTGAGAAACAAAATGAAACAACCCCAGAAGTTACCTGTAATAATGAGGGAGATAAATAATAATTCAGTTTTGACTTGTATTATATCAGTCTTTCAACCACCTATGTCTGCAAGGACTACCAACCTTGGTGCCTTACATCTGCCGGAGGCATTTCATCTGGAGGTTTGCAGTTGGAAATAGTTGAGAGGTCAAAAAAACCCAGTAAATTATGTATTTATGGTCTAGAAATATGAACTAGCAGCAAATTTGTGAAAAACTTTACCACAAATTCTAAAAAAGGCTTCACCCTTTAGTGAAGTATAGATTACTAAGGAGAGTAAATTGTCAGCACCTCAAGTGTTTCAGGACTTGAAAGATAAGTGGTATGCTTCAGCAAGAACTGAGTGTGTTCATATCACAGAGGGAAGCAATATAGATCTTGGGCATGGTATTCAGGAGACAGGAAGCAGCTGAATTTAATGTGTGAAAAAGCAAACCTTTTCTTTGAAAGACAAAAAAAAAAATATCTTTCCTGAGGCACGGATATGGTCTCCCTGAGGGATCTGTGTTATCTCAGCTGGAAAGAGACATTTAGGCAGAGAACTGAGTTCATTGGAATGGGAAACTTCCATAATGAATATTCCGAACAGAGTTCACTTTTGGCTGATCCCTCTAAAAATGAGTCTTCTCCCTTCTGTAGTAATGTCTCTATGCCTCCTTCTCCCTTTGGAAGCAGCTGTTTGAGGACCTGTTCTCCTCTTCTGGTCTTTTGGGGAAATACTCCTTTGGGGCAATATGATTTTCACTTTTCTATGCTGTTGCATGTCTGTCCCACAGAGCTATTCAGAAGAGAAGGAATAGAGTAGCTCTAAAAATGGCAATGCTGTGTTCATCTCTGCATTCCCTGTTTCCACTATCTCACTGGTTCTGTGCTTGCTGGTGAGAGCTGTCCCCAGACTGGTGAGAGGGCTCATGTGGCACTGCCTAACACCATGACACAGGCTCAAGCACACTGCTTTGCTGGGCAAGCAGGCCCCTGCTCTGCTTTGCTCTCTGCTTAAAAGAAAACACAAAGTGCCTGTGAGATCCTCCCTGCACAGCTGGATTTGATTTTCTATTATTTGTATGTAGTGGGTTAACAGTGAGATTTTTCTCTTTTTGGTAATAAAATCACTAGGTTGTATGCCATTACTTGAAAACTGACTCCAGGAGTGTTTCAGAAGGTGAAGTGTTTTAACAAGCATCCACCAACATTATTGGTCAAACCAATAATTTATGCTTAAAAAATCCCCAAACAACCAGCAAATCGAGAAGAGTGGGGGGAAGTCTGCCTATAGCCCAAAATAAACTATTTCTCAGTCCAACCATTAAACCACTTCCTTAAGAGAAGAGAAATCCGTCCTGGCTCCTCACTTGGAGAGCAAGCTCTATATGGCTTTTCCGGTGTGATCCTTCTGGTCCATTACTGCGTTTTCCTACTGTCCCTAGGGAGTTTTTACACAAACCATGCAAGATCTTGAAGTAGAAGACTACTTTATAGCACTAAAGAGTGTAGCAGTAGTAGCGAGTGGTTTCCCATGCCCATGTCATCCTAAGCATGTGTGGATAACTACATGCTTATTATGGAATTGTTAACATCCTGCCACTGCTTTAAAAAACCAGTATTTATATGTAACCAGAGTCCAACCCTCCGGTGTGCCTTTCCCTTTTAGCTGCATAAACCAGCATTCTTTAGCTGCATAAAACAGCATTTTATTTATAGCTACAGAAATATAAAGCCTTTCTTTGCAAAGGCTTTAAAGGCTAGACAAAATTGTTGCTTTTCCCTTTTTCCCTTCTCCTGAGAGATAAGCAGTGTGTTAGCAGGAGGGACAGAGAAGTGAAACCCAAATTTGCTCTGCTTCCAGAGAGGAGTCTCCTGCTCAGTCTCTGTTCAGCTGAGGCCTCACCTCATGCAGTCCTGCCTGCCCTGCTGCATACCCCTCCTAAAATCTCACGGATTTAGCCAAAATTAGCCTGGTCTGTCAATGGATACCCGAGTATTTGTGTGTCTGGGCAAGTGTGGAGGCACCCTGTGAGACAAGAATGATGCCTCTGGCGTAGCAACAAGTATTGTACTTCAGTGAAAAAGCAGGTGAAAATATAAATATGTATTTCAAATGGATAAAGAGTTGCTGATATGTATCTTTTCCCCTAATAAATTTTGATAACTTGGGTTGCAATTACTGAAATGCCTTAGTGAAAAAATTATATTAAAAAATATTAAAAATGGCTATGAATATGACCAGATTTTAGATTTGATTCTGACTGGACAGGAATTGTTGGCCGGAGATGATGAAAAGCAATGTGCATGAAATAGTGATCAACCAATATGCTTTGGTGTGAGAAATGTGATAATATTAGTAAAGATCAGTAGAAGAAGGAGATGTGGTTTTCTCCTCCTTCAATTTTGTGCTAATTCAAGTATTTGACAGGCTTGTTGGTTTACTTTCTGCAAAACTGGACAGTTAATAGAAAACACTGTTGATAAATAAATAAATAAATAAATATATTTGTAAAAGAGGATGAAGGGAGTGGTTAAATCGATGATCCCCAAGCTGTGGTTTGCAGTTGATATGTACAGCCAGAGTTAGCATTAGCAGTTCTGAGCTTCCCATCTGCATACACTGCTGATTTGGGAGCTAACTTGACATTCAAAAGACTTTGAAAGCATCTCTGCTAAAAGTTATGTAACGGAATGAATAAATGAAGATTATTTACTCAACTACTAGCTAAAATGATCAGACACTTGCTGAAAGCTGACATTAAAAACTTTTGAGGAACTTTATGGTTCTAAAAATCTGGAAAAGAGTAAGTTTTTGGCTGACCTTCTTCTACAAATAGAGGCGTCAGGTGATGCTGATCTAGAATAACCAAATTTACGAATCAATGTTGGTGCACCAAACAAATGATAGGGCCTTTTTGTTTGACAGGTAGTTTGCAAGAAGAATCCTAACTTAAAAACTAAACAAGCTCTAACTGCAGTCCATATAACTACATCTAGAGAGAGGGAAAAAGATTTCTAGCTAGAGGTTACTTTGGAAAACTCTGGCTATGGCTTCTATTTTTTGAGATCATGCATGCAGACGCAGATGCCTGGAATAGTTTGCTGTGCTTTCCTTGTCACAGAAGAGGGGCTGGGAACCCCTCTTATGTGACAAGGAAAGGTTGTGGGAACCCTTCTGTATCTTTCTGTTTGGTCCAGAACTATTTTTCTTTTGTGAGGAAAATTAGTCAGGAGAGCAAAACTGGAAGCTTGCTTTTAAGGTTGCAAGCACTTTTTGACTTGAGAAGTACTTAAAGCCATAAACGTAAGAGACAATAATTATTCTTTTGAGAACATATGCAAACCTGTTCATTTTACAAACACAACTTGTTTTACTGAAAATGAATAATGAAATTCCCATTGCCTTCAGTACTGTGGATTGGAAGTCTAGGTCCGGTTTTTGACTTGCTCATCTGTGTGAGGTGTTACTTGCCTGCAGTTTAGGTATCTAAAAAACACCTGCAGAAACATCACACAAGGGAAACAGTCAAAAAAATCAGGGCAAAACTGCTGTTCCCTTTTAGCAGAGACATATTTTTGTTTGAAAAGGGCAACAGCTTACTTTTCAAAACTCTATTTTTTTTCTTTCTTAAGAAGAAATGTTTATTAACTTTTTTCTTCTTTCCTCTCATAATTCAGACCACTACCGCAATTCCTTCTACACATACACCTGATGCTCCAGGCAGCTGGCAGGTCCATTACTGAAGGCAGCAGCAACCTGTAAGGATAGACTGAATTAACAGGTATTTCTTCAAGCCATAGATTGCTGAGGAAAGTTATGCCTTGAAGCATTGATACTTAAAAAAAGGAGTATGCTTTTAATTGATCTTCATGGTCCTTGTACCAGCTTTATACTTCTGCAAGAACAATAGGGGATAGCCATTAGCAAATAAGAATAAGGCAAGGCAAATGGAGAATTAAAATATATCTCCAAGATATCTCTGTTCTGAAGGGCGCAGAATCTTAATGTCTGAAGAGTTCTGACAAGGAGATAAGACATCTCCTCTTTCCCCAGGGCAGGTACATCATGTGTACTTCGTGTAACAGGTGTGTGCTGAATCACAATAAAGAATAAGGACAGAGAACTCCAACAGCTTTGCTACTTTGGCTTTTGTTTTTAAGACTAAAAAACAACACGTCAGACAGTTGTAATTAAATAAGCAAGCCGCATTACTTGTACAAAAAGTTATATAAATACAAGTTTGCTGTTTTGTTTTCTCTTTAGAGAAGGAAAGCATCCTTTTAAAAAAATAATCATAATCCTTATATTACTGAGATGCTGCCAAGTCACAATTCAGAAGACAGACATGTGAAATTAAGTCCACACTGTGCAGAGACAACACAGTGGCCCCGCCAGACCAGATCCTTTGTGTTTATCCTGTGCACAGTTACACAGATACAGTGGAACACGTGATAGCTTGAACATATTCTGCTTTTACACAAAAGAAAATCCTTCCCCATGCTGCATTTTGTTAACTAATGTATCAAAAATATCCATCACATCGTCATCATCATCATTGCTATTATTATGTTATTAAGGAATTGTCCTTCATTCCATGCATAATTATAATTTCACAAGTTAAAAACATAATCCCTCCCTCATGTCATAATCTATAAAGCACTCTGTGCACAGTGAAGCAGATCCCCAATTAAATGCAAGTGCTATTAAAATTAAGAGAAATACACTATTACTGTTGATTTTAGAGGAACAAAATTCTGGGGAGATTAAAAAACAAAATAGTTTTATCTGGACAAAATAATGTACAATTATTAATATTGCACTTTTTATACAAGAAATCCTAATAAATATACAGAAAAGATATACATTTACATACACAGAAAGTAATTTTTTTTAAATAAAAAGTTGCACTGATACTTATTTTTGAAGACCCATTTCTACCAAGAGTGTTCACTTCCAGATATGTTTTGAAGTAAGCCAATTTGAGACAATTAATGTCATGAACCTGACACTGACCTCAATAATGGATCCCCAGTTTTACTGATAAATCCACATACCATGAAAGCTGTACATAGCAGTACTTGAACAGCATTTCATAAATACACCACAAGGCACTAGCCCCAACAGGAGTTACAGGAGAGGCACAACCCAACCTTTCATTTCGAGAAAGTCTTGAAGAAAAACCTGAGATCAGGTAGGTCTCCTCTAAAGTTCCACAATTCTCAAACTCTCTTCTTTGTAGATTTCCTCTAACTTTATTTTATTTTTTCTGAGCAGAGCAGAGAATCTCCAGGAACTAATATCGTGTAGCACTTCACCAGCTGAATATCCACTGCAGCTGGCTAGAAGGAAAGACTCATGGCCTGCATGCAAAATCATGCTGTGAGTGTGATGTTTGAGTTTCATTTTTTAGACTGTACCTTCAGGGTGTTATACATGGACTTAAAGACCTGCTTTATAGCACTCGTTTTGTTGTGGGAGGCAGCTGGAGAGGAGCAAAGTTCTTTTCCAAAACCCCAGGTGTGAAAGTACCAGAACTTTGGGAAGTAAAGGACCTTTTTTCTAAATAAGTGTTAGTAGGATGCAGTATGCAAAGTGTCTCTTGTTTATCACATATAATTTCTTTCTTTCCTGCCTATGCTCTCTAGGGAACAGTGTCTGCAGGTCTGTACTTAAGTCTGTCATCATACTTGTTCTCCTTTTGCTGGTTAATTATTTACATCACCACCACACCTCTGTGCTGAGCACAACACTTAAGTCCCCAATCCTCCCTCACAAGCTCAAACTGGAAACACTTTCAGGTGTATTTCAGACCCACTTTTGTTCCAGAACATTGTTCAACTTCTCCAGACACCAGATCCTCAAAGATCACAAGGATGTCCCTTGCCTGGTGTAGGAAGGAGAGAGGGGTTTAGAAATTAAAAAGGCTTCCAATCTTGGATGTAACAACTAAGTTTATAAAGCAAACTCATGTGCTTGTGTTCTCAAGGTAGTCTAAGAGGGATGAGAGCTGCTCAGCAGAAAAAGACCTGGGGGTGCTGGTCAACATCTGACTAAATGTGAGCCAGCAGTGCCCAGGTGGCCAAGGTTGCTAATGGCATCCTGACCTGTATCAGCAGCAGTACGGCCAGCAGGAGCAGGGCAGGGATTGTCCCCCTGTACTTGGCACTGGTGAGGCCACACCTCAGATCCTGTGCTCAGTTCTGGTGCCCTCACTGCAGGACAGACATTGAGGTGCTGGAGCATATCCAGAGAAGGGCTACGGAGCTGGTGAAAGATCTAAAAGACACATCCCATAAGGAAAAACTGAGGCAGCTGGGGCTGTTTAGCTGGGAGCAGGCTCAGGGGTGACCAGGTGGCTCTCTACAACTGCCTGAAAGGAGGTTGTAATGAGGGGGAGTCAGCCTCTTCTGCCACATTTCAAATGCTAGGATGAGGAGAAATGGCCTCAAATTGAGAAGGGGAGGCTCAGACTAGATATTAAAAAAAAATATTCACTGAAAAACTGTCTGGGCATTGGATTAAGTTGTCCAGGGAGGTGGTGGAGTCACCATCTCCGGCAGTGTCCAAGAAGAGTCTGGATGTGGCACCCAGGGATAGTTTAGGAGTGGGTATGGTAGTGCTGTTAATGGCTGGACTAGATAAACTTGAAGGTCTCCCTGGACCTTTATGATTCTGTGATTCTGTAATATGATGCTAGGTTTTGACAGTGATCCTTTTCCTCTCCTATCTCTTGGTGTGTCCTGCAGGCATGTACACAGATTGAGGGGAAGCCCCACTCCTCTCATACCCATTTCTTGGTGTCATGGGTCTCTCTGACTCTGTGGTCTACCCTCATGACCATGTCTGTCTGCATTCTGTCTCCCAGATTCATAGTAGGGTAAACTTGTCAAGTCCCTTTACAACAATGATTTGTTAAAGGTTTTTGTTGTTTTTTTTTTTAAAGGGAAATAAATAAATAAAATGAAAAAGATCATTCCATCCATCTGTATTTTCTGCAAAAGCCTTTTGCTCAGTGATGAAGAAAAGGCTGTGATCCCCTTGTTCCTCCATTTTCATCTCATCTGTCTTCAAGATTTTCCACAAGTCCCACAGCAACGTGACTTAAATTGGGTGAGCTGGCAGAGTTTGAGCTGCTTCACTTTCTCACAGTACCTTGTGGTGTCTCTGCATTCCACTGCCAAAGGGGAAACAAGAAGAAGAAATGGTGATAAAGTTACGAACAAAGGGTTTCTTACCTGAGAACATATATCTTTGGGTGGCCAAGAGGAGAACCTTTGTGTTGGGAAGTCTTACTGTGAGTGTGAGCTTGACTTGCTGCAAAGACCAAATGCAAGTCCACAAGATCAGTGAAGAATTGGTAGGCAACATTTACTTTCAGAGCCTGGGGAAAGGGGTCCTGAGGCTGCTCCAACACTGCCAGTTTGTCATCAGCATTTTAGAGAGGCTGTAGGAGTTTCCTAACAGTTAAACCAAAGATGAAAAACTAAATTAAACTGGATACTTGTTTTAGTAGGCAGGGACACTTTGGCCAGCTTTGCACACTTGAGGAGTGTGCAGTGTGTGGGAGTGTCACCCCAGCTGACTGGGAGTTCTTTTCAGTTTTTCACAGGTCAGAAACCACTCACCATGAAGATGTTAAGACACCTTTTGAACTCCTCTAGGGCTTAGGTTCTGACACCACTTGTACAGTTTTTGAGACCCACAGACTCTTGCTTTTTAGTTTGGAAAACTGTCCAGTATCCCTGCAAGCCCCTGGGGTTTGGGACACTTCTGTATAGCAGAAAGAGGCTGGAGCATCAGCAAAGGTCCTGCTTGACACCTGTAATCTTCCTCATTGCTTCAGCTTCCATTAGGGCCTTCCACACTCATGAGTTTGGACCTCATAGTCCACTTTGCTGAGAGGGAGCATCAGAGCTGGTGTGAATATAGGCAAGCACATGTGGGTTCTGCTACTGCATCTGCAATGATTGCAAAGCAACTGGCTTGCAAGATAGAGGATGCGAGCATAATTTCCAAACAAGTACGCTGTCTTTTCTCTTTTGTTCATTTCATTTTTTTAAAAATTAGTAACTTTTCTAGTTCCCTGACAGGTCCAATTTGTTGTTTGCAATCTGAAAGAAAGCAGTCTTGCCTGCAGGATTTCCCATCATCCACGTACCCACTGGATTTGGACTACAACCGTAAGTCTGGTTGTGATTTGTGTTTTTCCTTCTGTCTGTACCATTAATGGAAGGTTAATAACAGAATCATAGAATGGTTTGCATTGTAAGGGGACCTTGAAGTTCACATAGCTCCAAGCCTCCTGCTGTGGACAGGGATGCTTCGCACTGGACCAGGTTGCTCAGAGTCCTGTCCAACCTGTTCTTGAAAACCTCCAGGGATGGGATATCTACAGCTTCTCTGGAAAACCTGTGCCACAGTCTCATCAACCCCACAGTAAAGAATTTCTTCCTAATATCTAAACTAAAACTACTCTGTTTCAATTTGAACCTATGCCCCCTTGTTCTGCTACTACATGGCTTTGTAAATAGTCTTGCTCCATCTTTCTTGTAAGTTCCCTTCATGTACTGGAAGTCCACAAGTGGGTCACAACCCTAAAACCAGGGCGGTACAATCCCATTTCCCTCAGCCTTTTGTCAAATGACAGGTGCTCCATCCCTCTGATCGACTTGGTGAACATCCCCTCTCTGGGATGCTGAGCTTTAGACACTGGGTTTTGCACAGGGCTGGCTGGATGTTCCCCAGGATGCCCAGCTGCAAGGTCCAGTGCTGCGCTTCTGAGGGACGACTCTCCTGCGCCACTCAGCAGCCTCCCCTCCCTCCCTCCCTCCCTCCCCTGAGGCAAGTACCGTTTTCACAGGGTTTGATGTTGCAGCGCTGCCAGTTTGCTGGTCTGGGCCTCCAGGAGCAGTGGTGCTCCATGACGGGCCTGTTGGTGCGGATGTGCACGCAGTCCACGCGCCGCGACTGGAAGCCGTAGTTGCCGCACGTGGCCGTGCAGACGGTCCAGAGGCTGACCCTCCAGTGCACGCCACAGGCATCTGTCCAGCAGTTCTGGGTGCTCAATGGCCTGTGGGAGGAGGGAGGGAGGGACATCCACCTGTATGTCATATCCCAAAGGTAATTCACCCAGAGTAGTGCGTGGATCAGATCTTCCAAGGCTGCCAGGTGAGGCCAGTGCTTTTGGACCGCTCTCAAGGGACCTTCAGTGGGTGCACATTGGTATACCAACACCAGGCTAAATGACCATCTGAACTGTTTGAGGATTTGGCTGAAATGCCCTCTCCACGAAGGGCCAAACCAGAGATCTGCTAAAAGGTGAAATGAGTGGTGACCAATGTGGTCCAGCAGGATTTGTAACTTTTTTATGGCTTTACAGTCAGTTATGGCTTTACAGAATAAAACAGAAGATAGTCTCACAGAGGATGTATAGGCACACTTGGCTCATATCTATTTGTCAGACAGGTAGTGAAAAACCAAGAGTGGGAGCCAACAAGCCAATTACATTAATATTCAGTCATGATCAATCATAATTTGTATACCTGTCTCATGTAAAGCAAATGTCATTACAATGTTGAAAGTGGAGTTCATCTGCAGGAAAACAAAACCTGCAAGAAAACAAAACCTTTGTTTTCTGTTAGAGCTTGTGTTTAAATAAGTGAGAAGACTGGCACCTTAAGAAGATATAGCACAGACTTGTAGTCAGGATTTGGCATGCATAGAAAATTTTCCAGTTTTTGACCAACTGGCCTGAAGCTCCTAGGAGTAAATAGGGACAGGCTGTAAGCCTGAAAAGATTTGTTACACATACTGTACAGGTTGCAGCATGACCTCTTTACCACATAGGGGAAACCCATAAGTTTTCAGTTAAGTCACTAGTGCATTGAATATCTCTGAAAAGGGCTGTGGGTTCAGACATAACACATTTCTTGGTACCTACCTTGGTAAGGAACTGCATTGATCAGATGACACAGAAGTCCCATCCTTGGTCTGGCAAAATATCTGCCGGTGCTGTACAGCCAGTCGTGGTCCAATGCAAGGCCCATTACACTGCAAACACAGAAAATTCACTCAGGGGAGGTAAAAGACAGGGCAAGTTCCATTTTCTATAAAACTGCTAGTGAAATAAAGTGCATACTGCCATTCAGAGACTATTGAGAAAGTAAGAAGTTTCAGCTGCTTTCTGGACTCTGCTAGCTTTGAAGGCTGACTGTGCAGCCATTTTCTGCTCCATATCACTCTCCTCCAGCAGCATTTAAACTACATTTCTGTATCTGCTCTCCAGATTCATTAACTCTTCTCTTCAATAGTTTAATCTTGAATACATCTGTTAGGAGTAATTAAATGCTGTCATGCCATTAGCCAAGAGCCTATGATCCATACAGGAAATCTCAATACATTACTTTTACTGTGCATTTTGCAGCATGTGAATTGGCCAAGTAACTAAGAATGCATTGAACCAAGGATATATTCCTCTCCATTGAAAAATTTAAAAGCATTGAAGGACAATAAACAAAAGCAGGAAGCATGAGGAGCACAAAAGATATGCAAGCTTTCTCCAAAATTAAGGCCATCCTAACATATTCAAGCTTAACAATTACATTTCAGTTTAACTCTCCTAATCCTCTCCTTTGATTAAAATATAACTTGGTATAGGTATGAAGCACGTATTTCTGCTATTTTAAAATTGCATCAACTATTAGAAACTGGTTTTTCTAAGTGTCTGGAAATGACATCAAAGAACAAACTGAAGGTTGAATAAGGGGTCATTAGTGTTAATCACTATCTTAAAACACCATGGGATTACACAGTGGAGAACAAAATGCCAGGAACATTAAATGAAGGAAAGGAACTAATTCTAGAGATAGGGCTAGAGCAGGTAGGCTGTTTATTTTCTTTGTGAGCTGGGAAAGCTGATTGCTACACTTGTGCAACGGGTGAGCTGATACCCCATAATACCACCAAGCAATGTACTACTGAACCAGTGTACATTCCTAACTACGTATAATGACCCTCTGGCTTGGAGACTAGGCAGTATGCAACCATGTGGAACCTGAACCCTTTTTTTGTAAGCTAGGTAGAATAAATATTATATCACAATGCATTAGGTCTAAAATTCAGAAATTAATTCTGAACGAACTGACTGTCTCACCTGAGTATGATATCATGGGGAGTAATATAGCCCATAATGGTTTTTGCAAAGATGATCCAATCCTTTCCTGAAATTTCATAGGGAGTGAAAATTTCCTTCTTTGATATAAAGTGATAATTCCAAGCTTAACTTGTATTACAATAACTCAGTCACCTTTCAAGATTTAAACAAAGGTGTTTTCAAGCAGTTAATAATTACACATTCTAGTAGTTAAAGGCACTTTTTACTATCAACATTATAAAAAACCCTGATGCAATGCAATCTGCTAAGAGAAAATCTGAAGATCTGCAAAGCAGCAGGAAGTAGTTTGAAAATGCTTTTAGTCCTCCATTCTGCCTTTCATCATGAAGCAAGTCAAGAAAGCTCACACTTTTTGGTATTCTCAGGCAAAATCAGCCACTTTGTAAAAGTGAATTATTGCACAGTCCTCCTGCCTTCAACCTTATCGCAATCATCAGTCCTGAATCCAGCCAGTCAAGACTGAAGCACTCTCACAGGCTGGTAAGGGGAATTAAGACTTGAAGAACGCTATTTCCCAGATGTGTCAAAAATCACTGTAACAAGGAGCTGCAGACCATTCCGCCGGAGGACACGGGTCTGCAGTAAAAGCCCTGTTCATAAGCACGTTCATGTTCGTGTGTGTTTCTAGTGATTGTGAGAAGCTACAGAAATCCAAGCAGGCAGTGCATCAGATACAGAAAGAAGGACCTGAACAAATTGGTTCCCGCCTCAAAAGCCTGCAAACTATAACCTAAAGATACTAGGCTGAAAAATCGCTACTCTCATTTTCTGTCTCTTTTTCTAGCCCACACTATGGGACTGCCCTTGGAATGCCACTTTGTTCCTTACCTGGCCCCAGGAGGAGGCTGCCCACTCAACACAGGGCTGCCTGTTGCAGCTCTGTGTGTCCACAGGGCGCTTGGACGCCTGGGCACAGGCCTCGTTGGGCACTGGGACGGAGCTGCCTTTGGCCGTCAGGCGCTGGCACGTCACTCGCCGTGTCTGCAAGCCTCCACCGCAGCTCCGTGTGCAAGGAGACCAGGATGTCACCATCCACCTGGGGGAGAAAGCAGAGCAGGTCAGGGAGCAGGCACGTGCCTTGTCTGCAGGATCCTCAGCATCAACTGGTCTTTGTCAATTGGACCAAAGACAGGCAACAGTGGGTTGGCTCATTTAGGGCATGATCCTGGAACATCTCAGTGCCTCAGCCTCCCCCAGTTTTCACTGGAAACTGTTCAGAGGATGAAAATTGAGAAAATGGCAACTTTTTCATGAATTTATCTTTCTCAACGCTCTTTGGGCCCAGAATTAATTTTCTTGCCCTTAAAGCTGTTTTTAGAGGCTTAGTAAATACTTGTAGCCCTGGCAGAGGGGTTGGGCAAGTCAGCTCTTACACCATGGTGCCATGGAGGCCTCGGTCACAAGCTGTAGTACAATGCTAGGACTAGCCCAGCAGCATTCCTTAGTAGGGAAAACTATCTCTGTGCAATTGCTGGAGTAGCTCACAGGCCACTTCAAACTTGTGAGAGAACAGTCAAAAGCCTGCTGGGTCCTGCTGGTGCCTGACTCCTCTGTTGTATCCCTGAGAGCTGGCATAATCCAGAAAAGTCTGAACATTGCTCAGGAACAGTTAGCCCAGGGAAGGAAGGACACTGTTCCTCTTTCCTCTTAAGCTCAGACTATGCATTTACCAGCTGAGGCTGAGGCTCTGAACCCCTGTGTACTGGCATTTAAAAAATCCAGTCCAACTAGTTAAAAGGCTGTAAGTAACAGAAAATAATAGTCTAATGCATTTTGTCACTGTAAGGATCATTAGGTGAAACACTTATACAGTCAGGTTTGGGAAAGCCTTAGGTAGGAATAGGGAGAATGCAACTGATTGTTAGTTTTCTGAACAGTTTTATGGTCAAGCCGGCAGTTTGCTTCATTAAGTTTCTGGATACTTGGCAGGATCTGTGTGGTTTTGGGAGCAAAACACTGCCTATCACGTCTCTCACCAGCAGTGTTTATGATTACTTTACAAAATAGGCAACAGGCATTCCCCAGTCCCATGGAGAGACATCCGTTTCTATTTCTCTGTCTTCTGCGGGTGATTAACTCCAGTGGTCTCAGAAACAAGTATAAACAAACATATTCCCAACCTGGAAAACAAGAACACTGGTACTTTTATGCAGTTGGGTGAGGCTGAACCTGCAATTTCCTCACTGCTTATAAAGCTCTGGTCTGCATGTCAATCAACTTTTATTTCCAAGCTTACATCTCAGCAGTTTCTCAGGAGCTGAGGGAGGATTTGGGGTTGTGTTACAATTCAGGGAAGGTATAAAAAGACATAAACCATTCCCATGGAATTTATTGTCAACAGCAAGGAAAACTGCTGCTAATGAGCATGTTTCATATTTCATCAAATCTCTTTTGGTTTCTTTCTTATGACTCAGCTGGCAACTCAGAAAACATTTGCCTGCAAAGAAGAGTAGGAATATATTTTAAAAGGTAATTAAATAGAAACTTGCAATATGCCCAAGACACAGCAAGAGTGGTGAATCTGGCCACTTCTCATCAGGCTGCTTAGAACCTCTCCTTGCCTCAGCTTAGACTGTCTTTTTTTAACACAAGTCCCAAATCACTGTTGAATGAGAGAATGTCTGTCGAATGAGGGAAGTTGTACTAAATTTCTCTTGAGATGCTCACTACTTTAAAGTGCTTGTATACGGGAACATAACACATCCAAATTGGAAATAAGGGAGAGGAGGGAATAACACCATGAAAAATATGGAAAAACATGTTTACACAACTCAGCTAAGGTGGTACTGAAATGCAGAAGCAGGACATTTTTAATATGGAGGGAGCATAACACTACACTGACTCTCTGGATAAGCTCAAGACGTACTCTGCACCAAAGGGTGTCAAAAAAAAAAAAAAAGACTTTGTGAGGGGCGAAGTCAGAGAATCATTTATGTTGGAAATGATCTTGACTATCGTCAAGTCCAATCATTACCCCAGCAATGCCAAGTCCACCGTAAAACCATGCCCCTAAGCACCACATCTACACATCTTTTAAATTTGTCCAAGGATGATGACTAAATTACTTCCTGGGCCAACTGTTCCAATGCTTGGCAACCCTTTCCATGATGAATTTTTCCCTAACACCCAATCTAAACCTCTCCTGGCGCCGCCTGAGGCTGATTCCTTTTGTCTTGTCACTTGGAAGAAGAGGCTGACCCCCCAGCTTACTACAGCCTCCTTTCAGGCAATTGCAGAGAGTGGTAAGGTCTCCTGGGCCCCATTTTCTCCAAGGTAAACAACCTCAGCTTCCTCAGGCACTTCTCATGGGACTTTTACTCCAGACGCTTCACTAGCTTCTCTGTCCTTCTTCTTTCTTATAGTGAGGGGTCAGAAATTGGACACAGTAGTTGAGATGTGCCAGAGGAAGATCTAGGTGTAGCCAGAAGTTTTTCAAGCTGTCCTGGCTCATTTGTATATAGTAGTAAGTGAAAACCCGGGGACTACAAGGGTAGAGAGTTACAATTCCAAAGCCACCACAAGCTAGCAGACTCCAAACAGAGGCAGAACTCAGCCCCCTTCATGCCTACTAGATGTTATGAGATGTTCCCATTTTACAAAAGATATTTTCACCCTGCTAAGGGAATACTTTGCAGCTGCAGCTACAGCTATAGTCCTGCCTGTATTGATTTCCAAGCAACAAAAGAATTCAGAATAAAATAACTAAACAGCTGCTAAACTTAGCTTCTTGTCTGTTGTATCATTGGGCAAACTGCTATGAAGCCAAAAAAGAAATGATCCTACAGGTCTTGGGTGACAAAATTTCCATGTATTCAGTGTTCAGAACAAGCATGAAATTTATGACCAACGCAGGGTGTGACCCAAGACACTGCAAGCTGTGAATTCTCTTTCTACCTTATACTGTCAAAGTTTTCCACTAACACTGCTACAAAATCCCGACTGTCTCGATTTAGCACTCAAAAACTCCCTTTTAGCCATGACTTCTCCAAACAGGGGCCAGAGAAGCTGCAGTGGCGTGATGACCCGCCCAGAGAACTCTTCCAGCGCATCTTAAATGCACGTAAGCTACTCCCACACGAGCCAGACGAACCGTGAAGGGCAGTCTCTCCTGTTGCACGCGAGGGGCTGCAGAGATGGCTGGGGGGTCTCTCTGCAGTAGGATGTGTTGACCTCAGCCCCATCCAGCAGGCACCTCAGCTGGGGCAGCTGCAGCCCTCTGTGGCCACAGGTAGCTGAACAAGGCGTCAGTCTGTCCACCGACCACTGGTACTCTGCCAGGAAGTGTGGGAGAGGCATGTTAGCACTGGAAAACTGACAGCAGGGGTTTAATTAGAATGGAGAGGGTTCAGGATGTTCTGCAGGGTGAAACACAGGGATACAGTGAAACAGAGATGCCTACACCTGCAAGGCACCTGATTCAAACCCCTGACTGCCGTTGGTGTAACAAACCCAATTGTTTGGTGCTTAGAAGCATCCGGCATGGAAAGTTAATAACATACTATGGCAATTAAGTGAAGCCAGATACCAGTGAGCACCTGTATTTTTAAAGGTGTGTTACTTAATAAAGATACGTTTAGCTGTAGTTCCCAGCAGTATCTGTGACTCTATCATCTTGAAACACCATCTCTCTTACCAGACAGTTCACACAGATCATTTGTGAAGACAAATGTGGGAATAGCAACACATGTGCAATTTTGTAGCAAAACTGAAGGAAAGTTAAATTCTTCACCTCTCCATCACTGACAATTGCAGCAATGAAAGCTGCATGTTCTGCTCCACCCCAGCTGCACCACAGTGTTCTTGTGGCTTTATCACCTTTTCTAGGAGATCACTAACAAAAACAGTTCCAGAACTTTTACAAGTGAAGGGTTTTCAAGGAAGAAGGGACTGTGAGACACTGAGCTTTGTGTATTAATACAGGGGCTTCTGTTTTAAGAGGTTTAAACTCTGCCATATCCGTCTTGAATTTCTGGACAAAAAAATTGTCCAGGCTCAATGGACAATAGCTTGAATCAGGAAGGTGTGTTTTGTGCTCAGCAGGGCAGAAATATCCGGTGTCATTTTGGTAAAGTAAAACCTAAGACACTGTAATGTACCCAACAGTCCTGCAAGTCTATGTCCACGGCAAGAAGTCATTAAGACACCTTTTTCCTGATTTGCATGGTGATGAATTCAGAGCGGAGAAGTTCAGGATGAGAAAGACAGCGCAGGGAAGTGCATGGCAAGAGCTTTTCAGGGTGAAATGACTGAAACTGAAGAGTTACCTTGTATAGCCAGGGTCATTACTTGTGTGAGTGAGCCAGCCTCATTCTGAGCAAGGCAGCTGAATTCACCATCGGTGAAATCACTGACATTGAGTATATGGAGAATCCGTCCTGCTGCCAGGAGTTGATGTCGCAGGCTGAGAGGCGCACCAGAGTAAAGCCAGGTGATGTTTGGGGTTGGATGCCCATCGACAGCACAACCTAAAAAACAGGTACATGAGAAAAACCTGCTGATCACTAAACCAGGTATATGCTTTGAAATGGTCAAAATTAGGAGAAAGAGTTGATTCCATCCCATTTTCTCCTCACTTTCTCATAATGATAAAAAGTAATTCTGTAAAATCCAAAAGACAGATAATCTGCAAATTGGAAAATCTATAATTAGTTTGAAATTATTTATATCAGACCTTCTAATGTTCGCACTATTTTTGATTATCCTCATTTTGGTATTGAAAAAGGCGGGATAGGGGAGTTATAAACCTGGCATAAACTCAAGGACCATCCTTGAACATGCAATACAAATGCAACTTGATCGCCAAATTTGCTACATAAGCCACAGGACCACCTTCTTACTCTTTCTTTTAAAAACATTTTAAAATGTTATTTATTGTTTCTGTTATATTAAAAGCCAGAAATTTTTGTTACACCAAAAAAAAAATTCTGTTGGAAAACCAAACAGATAAAATTGAGCCTTTACAGGTTTGGCTGTGTTGAGGTTTGTTTGTTAGCTGTTTTTTTTTTTTTTTTCTTTTTTATCACACCAGAAACAGCAACTGAAAACACCCTGAAGTTCTAAAGCATTGTGTGAAATCTATGGATCAGCAGCACAGATGATGAAATTTAAATTCTCAGTGAGTTCTTTGTCTGTTGACCTGAAAGGAAGTGTATCTACAAGACACTTTTTACTGTAGTTCTCATATCAGCTGAAGGCTTTGCCAGTTTCTGTGAGACTCGTATAACCTGAGAAAGCCAGCTAAGTTTTTTGCCTATTTCCTGGGGAAAAAAATTAAGAATTAGGTGATTTCTGATTTCCACAGCGTAACACATCCCCACCAATTGCAGGGGTGGGGAGGCAGAAATACTGTATGTGAGGGATGGTATATTTTACTAGGCGTGCTTCTGGTCTAGGCTTGTCCTGCACTGATATGTATGTCACTGAGACATGAAAAGTCTCTAAATTTCTGCAAATGTAACCTATTCTGATGGTTAGCTGGTTGTACTGAAGCTTTATATATTTTTTTTAATATTAACATGTATGTGCATGAATGGCTATATTGTATACAAAATCCCTTCTGAAAGAACTGTCTTGTATAAGCAAACATAGCACAAATACATCAACTTTCACATGAGTACTGCTGAAAAGGAATGGCATAAAAAAAGGAAGAGTATGAATTTAAAATACTGAAAAGACAAAGGAAGAATCCATCACCTGATATTTCAATACTGCCATCTCCGTGTAATTTGATTACTATTTATTATTCACTGAGACAAATGAAGATGTGAATGTGAAGTCTCTGCAGCTGCACGACACAATTAATAGATTCTGCAACATGACATTTTTGTTACATTTCTTCTTTCCATTCTTATTGGTCCACCTGAGGAGAACTTTAACATATACTGGGCAAGTAAAGTTCCTACAACAAAATACCATTGCCATTAATCTGCTCAGGAAGGTTGAAGAGTTTGATTTTCAAACATCATTAAGACCAAATCCTCGACTTAAGGAACTCGTTACTTCATTTTGGAACCCTTGTGACCCTTTTGAATTTGGTTATACCCATAAACTAACACTAGGGGACTGGGCTACTATAGTCTTTACTTTTGTGCTTTTTGCTAGGAATCATACCTCCAACCACACAATTCCTATGACAGAAGATACTCTCTTGCTCAGCAAAACTGAAGTTCTCTTGCTTATAAGTCAGAAGGTCCCACACAAGGTAGAAGATGCCAGTGGTGACCTGTGGCCATTTTCAGGCTGAGGGGCAGATCCAGACACTGGGGAGAAACTGTCTGCCACTGGGGCTCTCGCTGAAGCAGTGGCTACATGAGTCTGTGCTGGTTCCCTGCTGCTGTCAAACCCTGCCTGTGTGCACAGTGGGGAAAGGTGTGGGCTGGATACAGCTGCCCACTGGGACTCATTCACTCTGTGAAACTGGTATTTCAGAGAGCAAGGGCTCCCTGGCAAAAGACTGACACGTGCACAGAAGACTCTGCAGTCACAATGACAACGTTGTTCAACTGGAAATGAACTAGTAAATGCAAGTAAGTGTTTAAAAATAAGGAAAAAGGGGGAATAAAAAGGCAGAAGGACAGAGTGCCCCCAGTGATTTCACTTCTTCCCTTTTTTTCACTTGTATTTATAGGGGTGAAGAGTCCGCTATTTGTTTTAATTTCTTTGGCAAGGTCTAATGCAGTTTTATCCTTGGCAGTTATCTCTACCCAGCACTCCCTTCCTGACAACAAAGACACATCATTCTCTGCTGCTCATTCCCTGTCCCTAATTTTGTAAGGTAATAAATTTTTCTATTTATTTCTGCAGTTTCATTTTTTTTCCACTTTTGTGCTGAAAAATAACTTATGCAGTTTCCAAGACAATCATTCTCAAGTAAGTGAGTGACATGAAAGGTTTTAGCCTTATAGTTTAAAGGCTGCCTAAGTAAAAACAATGAAAGGCAAAGGAATATAGAGGAAATGGACAAACTTAAAAAGTGGCTATATGGCTTTTGCCTAGATTATTCCAATTCTTTTGTAGTTTACTTGTCCTTTAAGACTAGTGTAGTGATTTCCACAGGTCAGCATACAGCCACGACAACTAAAGCAGGCATGCTGTGAGCCCAGTTTTATTGTTTCCATTTGCAAGACTCTGCAGAGCGTAAATGCAGAAAGCAGAAAGGTCAGCCTGATGCTACACACAGATGAGATCAACCTGAATTCAGCATGCAGATGGTCCTGGTTCATGCTGTTTTTCTTTTAAAAAAATATTGTTAGGAAAAACACTACAGTCTTAGTACTGACTATTTTACTAGTCTTACATAGTATTTCTTCTTCCAAAATGTATATATAAAATATTAACTAAAGGAACAGCCAGTAATCAGTAATATGGGGGAAAACTCACCAAAACTATTGCCTAGATAGGCACTACCAGTGTGTAATTATTACTTAACAGGTAAACTTTACTAATACTTATCACTCATGTTTCACAAGTGACATGTCCTATACATTCCCCATGTGGATTCACAGGCTGTGGATAATATTTTTTGCATAGTAAGTGAGAGCTGGAGTACAATAAAATCACATGTTCCATCAATATCTCCTTCCTATCTTCCAGGAATAATTTTAATACAATTTAATGCAGATTGCTAATACTTTCTATTTCCCCAGTCCCTGTGGACATTGACTGTTTTATCCTTTCAAAGCTCAAACCCCATCCCTATAATGACTAAGAAGGAATAGCTTTGTTTCCAGACAGCACAGCTATTGCAGAGCTTTCGGGCATTGGAGCCCTTGGGAAGATGATCAGGGAACATATTTTTGGGACTGTTTTGAGCAGTCAAAGTTCTGGCATGAGAGGGCCTTTCACCTTCAGTCCTTAAGCAGAGAGAGAAAATATTGCCTTCATCCTCCCTTCCAAAGATTACTGGGACTCTGAATTCATTTAAAGCCAGGATGAGCCACTGACGTGCAAAAGCTGGAGACAGAAACACAAATCTAATAACAATGGAATCTTGGGGAAAAATGTTAGTATTTCAAGGATAACAAGGGCAAGTTTGGAAATTTGGAAAGGGAAGACTGATGTTCCACAACAACTCTAACAGTTTCTCGAGAGAAAGGAATAAATGCACACTCCAGGCCAAATTCAGCTCCCCCTACACCTTTGCAACAGTTTCTGAATGACTAGTTGCAGAAAAGGCTAACTTGCTAAGACTAGGAGGACAAAGTACAAACCATTCACCACTTCTGCACTTTCAGATCTGACAAAAACAAGTGCAAAGGCTGTTGATCTTAGGATTCCTTTTCTTTTTGGCAGCCTGATACTGCACAGAAAGCAATGGTAAAAATGTTAAGTGAATTTTGCAAGTACTAAATACATTTGAAAATGTAAATTAAAAAAAAATGCAACACTGCCTTTAGAATAGGTGTCTATTCTTAAAAATAGATTATTTTCATGTCTTCATTTTTGTCTAACAAATAACTCTCTAATTTACTGTTGACAGGATGATCAGCCCCACGAAATGTTTCTAATATTTATTAAAGATGGAATCTGAGTGAAGACTTCAGGCCAAGATCGGGTAGTTTATTTGATTTTGTATTTCTGTGTTATTTTACTGAACTCTAACAGAAAGAGTTGTGGACCAGAATAAATGGTATTAAAGCAATACTTATATATTAATGCTGCTACAGGACTTGAAAGAAGACAGTATTTCCACTCTAAACTCTACATTTAAGGAAATAAAGTATGCTTTCAAAATAGAAACCAGATTAAGGATGAAGTGAGGAACAAAATGCTTTGAACAAACTGTGGAGAAGCCAGATACCAATCTGAATAGATTACAAGTGTGGTGCTGAACTGCTGTGTTGTGGCTGACCCTGTGCTACTGTGTTCACACTGTGCAGGTGATCACTGGTAGTGAGAAACAGTTCTCCAGTTTCCTGTCAGGGCTTATTTCCTCCTTAGCTGACTGAAATGAGAAATGCACATTAAATGGAATGGAGTTAAAATTCAATTCCATCCTGTATCTAACAAAAGGATGAAAAATTGATGGGATGTATACAACTTTTAAACCAACTGAAGGTAGGTAAGACCATGTCTGAAAGTCATATGTATTTAATACCTGTTTTGCTGAAGAGGCAAAACTAAGAGACATCTCTTTGTAGTTTCTCTTATGGAGAAAGATCTTTCAATATACTATAAAGTGACAGACACTTAACTGTTTTCTATTATGCAAATTGTTTCTCATTGCCTTCACACACTGAATGAAATAAAATTTACAAAAAGCAATGGAATCCAAAAAGAAAACCCAAAATAAAGAATTAATATTTTTATAATTACAACTTTTACTTATAATTTTTTAAGGGAATGCAAATAACATGAATTTATGCTAAACAAGCAAAATGAAATATTTAGGAATTCTTGAAATAAGCCAATTGAGTTGATATCAGTAGCACTTCAAAAAAAAAAAAAAGAAAAAAAAAGAAGGCAT